TATTATCTAGTGATAAATGTAATTAAGAAGAAAGTAGAAACTAACTTAACTACTTTCTTGAATGTCTAGAAATTAAGCTTGAGAAAGAAGTTCTTTAATTTTAAACTCATAGAGATCTCAATGTCATTTTTTACTGTTTAGAATTTCAATTTTGTATAGAAAAGTAAGCTCGTGTAAAATTTCATTCAATTTTATGCTTAAAGATAAAACGTGATTTCAAATTTTTGTAAATTTGTAAAATTTTACTTATGTGTATGTGTTTATAAATATTTTTAAAATTTATTATCTTAATTATTTTATAAAGTAAATTTTATAATGTAAAATATATAAATTTGCAGTGTCAAAGATGCATTGTAAAATTTATATAAACAAGTAGATAAATGCATGTAAAATTTATATACACATATTTAGATATAGATATTTCAACATCAAGAGAAAAATAAATATGGACTCTCAAGATTTAACAATAAATTTAAATAACGGGCATTTAAAAATAATAACTGCGCGGTAATTCATATGCTATTATTTAACAATTATATTTCTGGATTCCTTGCATTGAATTAAAACAAAACAGAAATAAATTTTTGTTTTAATTTAATGTAAGGAATCCAAAAATATAATTGTTAAATAATAGCGCTTGAATTACTGCGCAATATTATTATTTTCAATTGCGCGTTATTTAAACATTAATTTATATAATGTTATATATTTATATGTATAGAAATCTTTCCCAATTTATTGTTTTAATTATCTTATAGCTAAATAGTGTAAATTTAAAGTAAACTTAAAAATATAAGTAATTTAATTGTTCAAAATATTTAAATCTAAAATTAATGGTTTATCCAAATTCTTAAAACTAACTGATCGAAAAATTTATCGAGATATATTGCGATGCTCTTGTCATAGATAATCTCGGGAACTGATGCCATCGGTGACAAAATTGTCCTCTCTGTGAGGCAGAAAAGTAAAGGAAGAGCAGAAAGGGGAGGACAGAGAAGGCTTAACGAGCCTTCGATCGCTGCTTCCGGTTACATGGTGATCATCGCACGCTTGGTGTCCGTCGCCGACAACGACGATGAGGACGAGAGGGAAAAGTTAAAACGAATCCCTCCTAATTGCCGTCCCCTTGTTCACTCTCTCGCAGGTCCCGCGTTGTTTGTCACCGATGATCCTCTCTCAACTCTTTCTCTTTCTCTCTCTCCCTTTCTCTTTCTCCGATATCGATGTCGAAAATGAAAGATCGACCAAACAGTTCAAGCACCGAAACGATAAGGACGCCAACAGATCTCTACAAAGAGAAATAGCGAGATCGCGGGAAGTCGAGGGATCAGAAGGGAAGGAGTGAAAGACGGAAAGGCTGAGAGAAAAAGAGAATTAAAGAGAATGAGAGAGAGAGAGAGAGAGAGAGAGAGAGAGAGAGAGAGAGAAGGAATGAGAGAAGAGAGATACTCCGAGTTCGAAGAGTAGAGTGAGATGGACAGAATTAAAGAGGGAAAGAGGAATGATCTAAACGAGGACAGAGGGAAAGAGGGATAGGGCGAGATACCGAAAGAGAGAGAGCAAGCGAGAGAATTTCGCCTTTGTCTTGTCGTGAGTGAAGAGAGTTCGCTTCGTGGTGAAGGAGTGCTTCTTCGTGCTCCTCAACTTCTTTTCGTGCATCGTCGTGCTCCTTCAAGCTCCTTCGATTTCTTTTCTCCTCCAGGCTAGATCTTCGCGAATATACGCTCGTCGTACGGCCTTCGAAGATGACGGGGAGATTGGTCTGTGTGAAACGCCAGTCTTCCCCTTAGCTGGCCAACACCGGAAATTGACACCCGAGCTCCCTCGGTTTCTCGTCCGACCAAATTCCTCCTCGTTTGCGCATCTGCCACCTTTTTTTAATTAGCAAATGAGGCTTTTTCACGTTAAGTATTTGCACATTAAACTTTGCCTTATCTAATGGTTAAATGACTTCTAATCATAATTATCCTATTACGCGATTATAGTATCACAAATACCAAACAAACCACTTAAAAAGTAATTTTACAAACTCTTGATATTAGCAAAAGTAGAAATCAAAAGGACAAATGAGAGTATAGAGCAGTTATCAATATGCAAAGTAATAAAGTAAAAATATATTACTCCTTTATTCAACAGTTTACGAACATAAATTTCCTAAACTGTGGAATAGAGGAGTAAAATTTTTTTACTTTATTACTTTGCATATTGATAACTACGCTGTACTCTCATTCGCCTTGTTTGATTTCTATTCTTTTTGGTTTTAAATACCAAACATTTTTCTCTCACAAGGGAAGAGAAGTGGAAACACGTTTTTGATTTGTAAGAGATAGTCGTTTGTAATTATATTAAGAATGTCTTCAGTTTAAACATCTCTTAGCTTGTTAAAAAAATATAAAATATAAAATAAAAATTAATGTGCCTTTATTTATATCTTTGTTTAATTAAAAGACATATAGTATTATATATATATATATATGAGAATTATTATTAAATTATATACTAAAATTATTTCGAATAATAAAAAAATATCTGCTCATGTTATTAAATGAAAAATATTGTAATAAAAACTAATTATTATTTAATAATAAACTAGAGCTTTCAGTATAATTGATTAATATCTTAGTTAATTCGCTTCTATATACATACATTATCGCTAATATATATTTATTGAGTTATACGTTAAGAAATATGTTGTTCATCATTGACGTCTGTTCAATGCAATAAGTCGCTTATATCGATGACGTTAACGATTAACTACGCAGAGTTCTTACTTTAAGACTCGATAATTCTTTAGATCAGATTATCATCGTAAGCAAATAGCAACGGGTTTAATCATCATCATAAAAGAAATTTATGTTTTTTCAGTATTGACTTAATCAAATAATATATATCTAATACATACATTTAAGTAAACAACTTTTGATGACCCATCAATTATCCAATTAATATATTAATATATAAATAGATGGTATCTAAATTGCATTTAATTAAAATTTAATTAAAACTATTACAATTATAATTCTAAAATTATAATTAATATTAGATAAATTGACATTGAAAACGATTGTAAATACTCATTTTTAGTGCCAATAATATATTTTTTATTATTGGTATATAGGATACTATAAATATAATTAACATAATAATAATAATAATAATAATAATAAAGATGAAGCTTCTAATCATTATTTTATTATGCAATTATAACGTCACAAATAATAGTTACAAATACCAAATATTTTTTCCTTTACAAGGGGAGAATCAGAAGTGAGAATGAAAATGCGTTTTTGAAATGCGACTTGTGGTAAAATAATTGTTTTTGTTCATATAAAAAATTTCAGACTCTATATAGCTAAAGCCTGTGGCGATACTTTTTTTTCTGCTGAATTGCTTGCGTTTTAATAAATTAGTACAATTGCATTATACAGAATGCAGTATTGCTGGGTAATTTGCTAAAACGCAAGCAACCAGCAGAAAAACATACATCGCGTGCCGCAGGCTTTAGGCACTTCTTAGTTTGTTAAAAAATAAATATATAAATAAGTATACAAATTTTGATATCATCGAAGGTTAATTACTTGGCAGGAAAATAGATTTAAAAAAAAAGAGGAAAAAAGTTACGTATTATAATATTTAAGGTTAATTGTCTTTTTCTTTGATGTATAGACGATATTAATATAGTTCGGATTAATGCGAATCCAAGCACAACGTTGCTGTCCACGTTGTTGAGGTGATGATAACGCATTTATTCGACAATTATTTTTATATCATTCATGTATCGCAAAAAAATTAATTGGTTCTAGAATATTATAACACTCAATTTTTTTCCCCTGAGATATATCGTCTTCCCACGTGATTAATCTAATTAAAAATTTTTATATTTATAATTTTTATATTTTAATTAATTTTAAAAAACTAAGAAGTATTGAAACTAGGTTTTGGGATTTTTAATGTAAGCAAAAAAAACTGTTTTTTTAAATTTCAAAATCATGTTTGTACTTCTGATCCTATCTTTGTCTCTCTCTCTCTCTCTCTCTCTCTCTCTCTCTCTCTCTCTCTCTCTCTCGTCCGTCAGTGTATTCCATGAGATAATTCAACTCGAGATATGATCAGTCAAATCTTTTGGAAACTGGAAGTTACCTTAGATAAATTTGTCTCTTTAAGTTTACAAAGATTACTCGTACTTTCTGTAAACTTGTAATAAATTTGTTTGTACAATAATCCTTATGGAGAAATTTGTTAATAAATTCTAGAAATTCTCTCCACATGATTCATTCAACCGTCTTGTGAGTAAATGTAATTTTGCTCTCAAAGTGACTCAGCATTGCTAAGATATTTTTGTATTACTTCTCATTATACATTTCTGGAATCCAAAGAGAGCTCGATAAGAAAGTTGAAACATGTAATACGAATTCTAATTTAGAAATTATGTTGCAATTATTTAAAATCTCTAAATGTGCAATATAACATTTATTTTAGAAATTAATAGAATTTAAATTCTTTATCCGCACCTAAAACCGCGTTGAATCGTATACGCTTTTTCAAACGTATTAATTTGTTATTCCCTTATTAGGATAGATAATTAGGAATTATCAAAAGCTGTTATCATGAACAAGATGCGAATTATCCGAGTCGAAATTTTGTTTCTTCTTTGAACGTTTTAGGACGTAGACTCTACACATTTATATTTAATTAAGATATATATAGACTCCAGAGATTTACAATATAATAGATTCTAATCTAACGAATTGAACTCCTACGTTGAGCCTGTAAATGGCAGTTATTGGAAAATTTCCTATTTTTAGGATTTCAAAAGAAGTTTTTTAAATAGAAGTTGTATATATTAAGTAATATTAAAAGAGGTATTTGATTGTTCAAGTATCAAAACAGGTTTATAAGAATTAATTAAGATTGAAAGAGATTGAAATAAAATTTCGATTTGGAAAAGAGATTGCAATCTCTTTCCGACTACGAGAACGCAATAATGCAATTTTCGCGGGGCGAAAACCAGGCACGGCGCCAGGGAACTGGCGCCGCCGAGACTTGCGACGATCCTGGCTCAACTTGGCGGGCGCGACCGAGCGCCACCGAGCAGTCCCGATCTCGGCGGTGGCCCCGTCGTAGCCATGTGTTGCGGTCCGCCGTGAGTGCTTTGCGACAAGAAGGGAGACGCGCGGTGTCTCCTCTGTGCGTCTTTTTTTCGTGTTTTGTCTCGCGGTGTGACGGTGTCTCGTCCCCGCGAAATCCGCGGGCTTTCTGCGCGCGTGTCTACACTGTGCGCGACGAGTCGTCGCGACGCAAAACTAACAGTGTCACCGGGACAGCCTCAATCGCGGGCGTCCGTTCCACCGTTGTGCGCGGACGAGATCGAGACGAAAACCACACCGGGTGTGTCCCACTCTCGTCGCGCGCGAGAGGAGAACGACCGAGCGAACGAGCCGACGAAACGGAGAAAAGTGCGTACGTGCGCCGCGCGCGCGCGCGCGTGTGTGTATGTGTGTGTGTGTATGTGTGTGTGTAAGAGTGTACGTGTCGTGTTTCTCTCTACGGCGTCACTGACGGCTGACGACGGGCAAGAAGGAGCAGCCCGTTGCGTTCGCGCGACTGTTTGGCCGTATACACTTCGGCATCGTTTTTCGCGTGTGAGTGCGAGTCGGAGGGAACGAGGTTGGTGGAGGAGGAGTTGGTAGCAGTGACGGTTCTACGAAGAGCAACTGAGCGAGAAGGATATAGAGAGGTAGGGAAACAGGGAGAGAGAGAGAAAGATAGCGTAGCCCGGGCGACTCGAGCGTGAGATCGAGAGAGCGAACGCAACACGTAGAAAGTGCAGTGCAGACAGAGATAGAAAGTGAGAAAGAGAGATAAAAAAAAGTATGATACACCGCGCGGCGTAGGTGTGTGCTTCGCCGGGGCTTAGGAGACGCGGGCGTTGTTTGTTTGTGTACGTTTGTGCGTGTGCGCCGCGACATTCGTAACGGTCGGCCGAGACGAACGAACTTGAGATCGCGGAAGAGCCGCGGGGAAAATATACTGACGAGATCTTTCCTCAACGTTTCATCGTTTCGAACCGTCGCGTTGCGTCCTCGTCGCGCCGGCCGCCGGAGTTTTGTATATTTCGGTGTTTACCGGGTGTAACGGAGGCATCGGAGGAGCGGTGCGCGACATACAACACACACACACACGGGCGAGAACGGAAGGAGTGGGACCGAACGAAGGGCGCGTACGGGAGAAGGAGAGCGACACGGCGGTTAAGGGGAGGAGAGGCGCCGACGGGAGCCAGTGGGAGCGAGGAGTGAGATAACGACGAAAAAAAAAATCGGAGTAATGGTGTAATCAACGGGTTGCGCTTCGCGATTTGGCGGTCGCGCGTTCGATCGGGGTGTGTATCCGTCGCGGTACGAGAACAACGAGAGTCCGGGACGAGTTCCTTGGCGGTGGCGGCGGCGGCGGCGACGGCGGCAGTGCCTCGTCTGTGTGTATGTGTGTACGTGCGTGAGAACAGGGTCGCGAGGTGAAGCTCGCGGCGAGTAGCGACGAGCCGCAGCCGGCGGCGACGAACGGTTGGATTATATGCAATGAGAGGAGATATCCCGGGGATCTAATACGCTTAACACGGGAGTGAGAGAGGATACACGGGAGGAACAGCCACGTAGACCCCGCGGGGGAGAGAGAGAGAGAGAGAGAGAGAGAGAGAGAGAGAGAGAGAGAGAGAGAGAGAGTGCGCCTCACCGGTCATCGTTCGGGTGTATGCGTGCACGCCTGCCCTCGCCGACACGCGGCAATGGTGAGTGATTCTTCTTCTCTTTCTCTTTGATATCTTATAGGCAGCTGAGAAGCTACGTGAATTCAACCCTTCTCCCCTCGCCAAGTCGATTTTTTCTCCTCCCCCCCTCTCTCCTTCCGGTGGTTGTTTGATTGCGCGCGCCATCTTTGTTTACGCCATCTTAATTTTGAACTGTAAATACCTCGATTATGTATTAAAATTTGTGCGTAGGGCCACTTGGAATTAATCGAAGTGCAGGTACTCTCTGGTTTTTTTTTTCCGTCAAGATGAAGATTAATTGGGACGCTGGTCTCTCTCTCTCGTTTTCGATCTTTCTCATCTTTGAATACTTGACGTTCACACACGTAGTCTCTCAGCAGGCTATACATGTAACTGCGTGTCTGTGTGAGAACAGGCGGTTCCTGCTTTACAATATGCCTATGTATGTAAGTGACTTCTGGTGTTCCGGTTCTCTGTGTAGCATACGTTGCTCTGGTCGCTCTCGAATAGCCTCGGCATTGATATATCGATTATTAACTAACACAATAAGCCTAAAAAGAGCTGGCAGGAACCTGAGGCATTTTTTTGCTCCGCAGGTATTTCGGATTTATCCGAAATTTATCTGCCTAAACTGGAGGCGATAATGGTATTTATTAAAGCGTTAATGCAATAATCCTGCTCTCGAGAATGCGTTAGTATAGTTAGTGCATTTAACAGTTGATTAACTGTCGTTATCACTCATATTCAACATACACGAATAAACTCGTAGAGACTACCTAGTAAATAAACTTCCTCATTTTCGCGAATTTGAATATAGGTGTGCGAAGACGTAGCCTTTCGGAATGACACGTTTGTATTTTTTGATTATAGGATTGTTATGCAAAGTATCAATTTATTATCTTATGGCAGATGTATATTTATATATGTTAATATATTGCTTTCTCATTTTAAATACAGCATAAAAAACGCGAAAAATAAAATTTAACCAAGGCAAATAAAATTAGTAAGGTTAACAAAAATATAGTAGCAAACAACTGTTTTCCTTCCTTTGTTGAAACATGTATGATGACATCAGTGATTGATTTAGCTTTGAACGTGATTTTCGAGTTTTTATAAGTTAAGTAAATATTATTCTGTTATAATCATCAAAAGAGAACGCAATTTAATTTTATTAAAAAATTGTTACAAAAAGAGTAATTCAATTCTATATAGAATGCCTCTCGCATGTAAATTTCACGTGTAAGTGAGCCGAGTCATTGATCGTTAAGTTATGCTTTCAATCTTGAGGTGGTCCAATTTGCTATGCTAAAAGCTAAAACAAACGTAGACCTGCTTTCAAAAATTCAGTCTATAGTCCATTATATATAAGTTTGGACTCCTGGATGGTAAATATTACAATAGAGAGCATGACAAACGATTTTAATTTTTAAGCAATTTTGTAGTATTATTATATATTTTATTCAAATGTTATAAGGAAAGAATATAAATATATATTATATATCTATATTATTATATTATATTTCTAAATTAAATTTGATAATCTGCTTATTCTTTCTTTTCTTTTAAATTAATAATTAGATTGTTTGAGTTTATAAAGACTCGTGAGTAATGTATATATTAAGGATCAGAAACCATCAAGCGTGTCAAGAAATAAATTTTTTAGTAAAAGAGCGATATGTTTATTACATTATATTATATTTATACAGTTTCTCATGAATGATTCCAATTGTGAGCCCGGTATAAGCACAAAGATATGGTTATCAAGTATGATTTAATCGCATCGATTTGTTGATAAGTCGGATAGAAAGTAAGCGGAGCGTCCGTGATAAATGAGAATCCGTTTGCGTGTATTACTTAAAAAACTACTGTTAACCATTGCGGGCTTTCGGATTCCTGTCGGATAACAGTTTGCATTGCACGAATGCGGCTCTCGCGAAAAGGTTATTTCAACAAACTCAATTCTCCGCCAAGTCCCTGATATCGCGTGAGAGTGCTGGTCTACCGTGACCACGCGTGTGTCTGTATCTTAAGTGTGTATGTGCGTGTACGTGCGTGTATGTGCGTGAGTGCGGACGACCACCGGCCGCATGTTGTCTCTCGCGGGCAAACGCGAACACGATAGTCACGCCTGCCGCAGGCACGCACACATAATTCGTATTCAAAATGTAGAGAGACCCCGAGACATCGTAAGAGAGAATTCCTGCTTTCGCGCATTCGAACTGTAGAGGTGTAAAACACGATATAAGAAACGGAGAGAGAATAAACGTGGGAATATGGTGATCGATACCAACGAGAGAGCTTATCGATACGCCTCGCTTGCATCTAGCTGGGAAATGTGTGTGTGTGTGTGTGTGTGTGTGTGTGTGTGTGTGTGTGTGTGTGTGTGTGTGTGTGTGTGTGTGTGTGTGTGTGTGTGTAGTTATTCATGATATCTATCCGAGACGCGCGAATAAATTTCCGGCATACTTTTCGCGTGTCGTTTGATTTTCTGTTGTGAGGCTGGTGGTATATTCTTGGCGCCGGCATTTCACCTTTGATATCGATGCCGACGATAACTCGGGCGGAAATGTCGAATGGAAAATACTCGTCGGAATAATAGAGTGGAGATCCCTTCAATAAAATGTGATTCGCACAATAACAAAATAACGGCGAAATAATCACCGTTCGGCGTTAACAGTCCTCCATCAGCGGATACGTTGGTTCGCGCGACGCGGATCTGCGTTCGAGCATGTAGCGACGCACGCACGCACGTATGCACAGACACGCGTGCATCTTGCATGTATGTAGACGACGCACGAGTCTCGCTCGAGGCGACGACGAGGATTCATTCAAGGCGGAGCTTGTGCTCGCTTCGCTCGCACGCGCTCGCACTCGCATCGCGACTCGCAAATACATTGCGTAGGTAGGTTACTCACGCGTGTCAGCCGTCCGACTGCGTGGGAGCGGCACTTCACGCGTGCACGCGCGCTCCGGTGTGTCGGGAATTCTACATTGAGAATAAGGGAGGTACCTTCTTGAATAAACTTCTGCAGCGTGTAAAGTTTATACTTGAAAGAGAAACGAAACTCGCGTTCGCTGTTCTTTCGTATATTGAAAAATACAATCTCTTTTATCGCGCATATTATTGTACACGAGAGATAAAAGTGTATAGCAAACTCGGCAATTTACATTGCTAAATTTTCTTGGTGATTCATAGTTTTGAGTTTAGAAGGTTCAAGCGACTTTTTTTGGTTAAAAAAGTTTATACAGAATGATAGATTAAACATATATTATTTTGTAGCTTATAATTGGCACGTTTGTCAATAAACTCTGCATTCTAATTTTGTGTATAGCAAAGTTTGCGTGGGATTGGAAAAATAAAAAATATTTATTTTCTCTCACGATACTTTATGAATAAAAATAAATGAGAAATATTGTTTTAATAGGTATTAAATAATAGATATGTAAATTAATAGATAAAATATTGCTCTGGATAATTAATATTTTGATATTATAAAATCATATTACTTGAGCAAGTAGCAGCATTATTATTCAAATAAGATGTTAAAATATTAATTATTTAAATTAATGTTTTAATCTATTAAAATGTCAACCTATTTTAATTTAATTGTTTATTACATTATTATTTGTTAATTAGAAAATTTGTATTAAATTTAACACACATTTCACAGGTGTGTCTTAAATGTTGATTCAAATTTTTATGTTAATTTAACACAAGAAAAAATTAATATAAAAAATGTAACAATGATAATATTTATAAGCGAATTGTGAAAGCGTATCTATTTTTTTCAGCAAAATTAATATTTATGATTAAATTAATAAATTAATACGTATCTTATTCATTCATTTTAAAATTTATTTTTTTTTACTCATTCACTCATAAATTGTATTATTTTGATATTAAGAAATAAATATGTGAAAAAAATATTTAAATAATAATCACATCATGTTAAATTAATATCCGAATGTGTTAAAAATTTAACACAAATTTTACAAAGGACTTGAATGAATCGTTTTTAATACATATACGAAACATTTTTTACTGTGTAATATCACTACATTCATTAAAACAATATTTCCCGTTAATTTTGATTTATGTTTAAAGTATCGTGAAAGAAAATAAATATTTCTTTGAGTAATTACATTAGTCAAGTATTTTTTAAAAATATTTCCGAATTGCGCGGATCAGGAATTAAATTAACAGAATACCATTAATTAATCAAAATACAAAAAAACATATTATGCCTTTTATGAGTTTGTGCGATATCATCGAATATATGATTGATCATCGCTATATTCATACTTTATCGTTTTTTAAGTGTATCTCGTATGTATCTCGATACGCAAAGGAGATATCGAAGTCTCTCATGTATGTATATATATA